TTTTTTTTAACTGACACTGAAAATAAAAATTCTTTTTCCACTTACTTTTTTTCACTCTTTCATTCATAATTTCTGGAGTTTCTGTTTGTTCAACTCGTGCCACTTTATAGCCTTTCTGTACTAATGTATCTGCATAACGACCATAGGCAATTTCTGGAAAACCTGAGTGTGCATAATCTCCCTAAAAGGGGAAGAAAAAAAAAAATGTAATCACATAATCAAAATTTTTGTTATGCAAATTTTTGTTGTTTTTGCTGCTGCTGCTATTTTTTATGAACAGCAATTATAAGATGATAGGGAGCTAGTCTTGAAAAACTTTGCTTCCAAGTTTTTTCTTACTAAGCACTTCATGAATCGAGCCTTGTGCCAAAGACAACTTAAATCAGGCATTTTCTTCTACTATTACAAGGGAACTACTTTTAGGAAATGGAAACTATGTATAATGGCTGAGTATTTTTCCTTTTTTTTTTTTTAAATTCGATTTGAAACAAGTATTACTTATAGCATAAAATGTTGTATACAAGCATTTCTTAACTGGGGCGGGAGCTATTGCTGTATCAATCAATTTTGACAAGTATGGTGATGCACAATTGCTAGATGATAAATTTTATATGAGGGATTTTTTTCTGTAAAGGGATGGGGGACAACGCTTAAAACACATGACAGAAAAAAAATTTAAAAAATTAAAAAAAAAAATGATATTCAGGATTGTCAGATTGTAATAGGCTTTATGATTAGTAAATATAGTTTTACTTAATAACAGTATTTCCTAAGAGTTAAACTACTGAATCTAAATTTTAAAAGATTTAAAAATTTTATAAATTATTCAATTTAAAATTGTAAGAAAATGAAAGCAAATCTTGAAAATTTTTTTTTCTTCAGACAATATTGTCTTTAGTATATATTATTCATAAAAGCAATTAAAGCTTCTCTAATTAAATAATGTCTAGGTTGTACTGCATTTGTTATTTTTGGATTCAGAACAGATTTTCAGTAAGACGGGGTCTGATTTTGCCCAAAACATTTGCCGATTTAAATTCCTTAAAGAATTCTGCTTTTAATAATATAGTCACTAAAAATTATCACACTGAATTTCTCAAGTTTTCATAAAATTAAGTAAGGAGGTGAAACATGTAAAAATAAAATTTTTTTTACAAAGATTTTCTAATAAAAATAATTTAAATCATTTGTGAAAATTATATTAAAATCCGACAATTATTTGATTTTTGCAATAATTTCCAAATTAATTTGTCTCTTAATGCAAAAAAAAAAAAAAAAAAAAAAAAAAAAGGCTAAGATTTGCTTTGCTAACAGTACATCTGCTGATGCAAGGAAAACAACTTTTTTTTTTTTTTCATCAAAATTTTGAATGGTTCTAAAAAGGAGTAAAAAAATTTCATTAAATATTCAACAAATACTTTAATCCTTCCTCTTAATAAGGACAAAGATTTTGATGATAAAACTGTCTTTATCACAGTATGCTGATTTTTGTAGCAATTACATAGAGGTACCTTCTTTTGAATATAATCTTATACATGTATGCATATTTTAATACATGTCTACCAAGAACAATTTTAGGGAAATCTATAAAAAAGTTTAAAAAGTTTTTGTGTTGTGTCCTTTTGAACTTCACCAAACTAAAATAATGTTTACATTGATGTGCTTACACATACGCACAAAGAAGAGGAAACTGAAATTTTAACTTTAATATATATTTTTCTAATTTTAAATTTCAGTGTCACTTCTCCATGTGCATGTGTAATCACATCAACATAAACATTACTTTAGTCCAGTGAAGTTCTAAACATGTCACACAAAATTTTTTTTCACTGTCATAAATTTCCCTAAAATTGTTCTTTATATCTAAAAATTTATATCATTTTCTCCATACATGCCTATAAACACGAGTACATGTTTACAAATACATATCTGTGGAAGGGTATCTTTGAGTGTTTGTGGATATGTAAACACAAATCTTTGTTGTTTTTGATCTCATAACAGGCAAAAACAAGAACAATTTTCACACAGAAAACAAAAACATAAGAATCTACTAACCTTCATGTATATTAAGCCTAATTCCTTTACTCCAATAAATGCATCCATATGAAAAAGTTCATAAAACTTTCCAACCTGTTAAAAAAAAAAAAAAAAAAAAAAAAAAGAATAGAGAAAAAGTTGACACTTTATTCTTTATGTAAGAAATATTTAGATTTTAGTAGTATATTAATGTAATGGCAGCACTGAGTGACAGAGTAAATGGATGATTGCCTGGTATTAACCATTGTCTTCAGTTTAACTTTTCACTTTCAGTTACCTGCTGCCAACCCCAGAAATAAACCATTCATGAGATTTACTTAATAATGAACAAGGTATGGGTGGCTTAATGGTTAATAGCCCAGGAAATGGAATCCATAAACTGTGTTCACATTCTGGTAGACAGTTTGTGTTTACTCTGCACTAATGCCTTTGTGAAAGTAATGAATGCATTACTTCTTCCCCAAGCTATGGGTAAAATAACAGTATACTGGGCTCTCTAGTCTTGCTTGGCAACCAGTCTAGAAGGAAGACAAATTTAAAACCAGCGTTTGCTAAAATACCAAAAAGTAGGGGATAGTGCTAGCAATCTCACCCATAAAAAGGCATTTGTTAAATATGATCATTGTACAAACTAATGAAAGATTGGGCCTTGGATACAAAACTTTATAATACAATACTTGTTTGGCTGTTGAAATACTACCCTGCAGTTTCTATCGCCACAGAATCATTTGAAAAATTCCTCCCTTCCAAACACCTTTTAACTTTGAGGGACCAGTAATATGGAGCAAGATCTGGTGATTAGAGTGGATGATCTAACCCCTAAGTCTTCAAAACACCCATTGTCTACAGAGTCATGAAAGTGCTTTGATCTGCAAAGAAGAGAAGACCTTCCTACAGAACTCCTCACTGCTTTTCTTTCAACACCACCTTTTATAGGCAAAGCAAATTAGAGTAGTGTTCTGTATTAACTGTTTGTCCCTTTTGAAGATAATTACCAAAATACCTTCCATATATTTATTTTATTTTTAAATCAATTTACCTCAAGCAAGGCAATAAAGATGCAAAAAAAGAATGTGAGGAAAAAAAAAAAAAAAAAAATTTACCAAGGAGAGAAAACAATCAAAAGAACAGAAATTAAGATAATAATGATTGACATTGCATTTAAATTTTTGAAGATCAAAGTTAACTGGAAAACAAAAAGCTTGAAGAGAATCCTATAAGTGAGAAGTGTGAGAGAAGAAACCGTTAACATAGAGCTTATGATTTTATCTTGTCATTTCATGGCTGCAAACTTCATACATACATATATGCATGATCCTATTTCATCAACAATAACAATCCCTGAAAATGCAGCAAGATTCCACTTAGATGTCCAGGTGTTATTTCTGATTGGCATTCATACATTTTGGCATCCACTTGGCTGACAGCTCCCATATACACAACTGTTCATGAATTATAAATAAAATGTTTTCTCTTGATATTTTAGTATCTCAGCAATTCTTTTGGCTGATATCCATTGATCAGCCAAAATTAGTTACAGGAGTTGGCACTGTTGAAGATTTCCCTGACCGGAATTTGGCATGCCATTTCTTGATAGTTGAATGTGACAGGTACTCGTCACTTAATGTTTGCTTACCATCGAGTTACTTCCGAGAAAATAAATTTATGATGGCTAGACTTCAATTCTACACTTTCCATTGAAATGCTTCAAAGTTAATATGTTGAAACAAATTGCAAGAATTGGTACTATACAATACAAAACACTCTTTCCAGCTACAGTAGCTGAGATTTTGGTAAATGGGTGGTGCCAAGAACTTTTCATCATCCCTCATATGGTTTATTCAGATGATGTGAATATCACTTTTAGACAGGCAAAAATTATTTAAGAATCACTTATAGAGGAAACAAAACTCACCTTGAAGAAGAGAATCGTGTCATAATGCTTAGATTTCAGATCCCACCACTGGCGCATAGCCTAAAAGAATTTTAAAAATAAACCAATAATTAAATTAAATTTTTGAAAAATTAATAAAAAGTCTCAATTGTAATCTTGAATGCATGTCCCTGTTGAGAGAGAGAGAGAAAAATAAAAACCTGCAAATGTGTGTGTTTTCTTTTTCTTCACAACATCAACAAACTGGAGAAAAAAAAAAAAAAATCTGGCTAAACTATCCAAGTCTCTTACAAATGAACTGTCACTCAGGATATGTATTTTATACCCTGATTGATAGAAATGCCATATGGACATTGTGAATAAAATAACAATCAGGGTTTCAGATCCAAAATCTGAAACCTGGGGAGATCAAATCAGTCTTGCAAGTCCAAAGTCAAAAATACCAAGAGTGTAAATCAAAGAGTGGAGTCAATGCTGTTATCATCCAAAGTAGTGTTCTTTATTGGGGTGGAAGTGCTCTGATTGGTCAAGACTGGTATGCAAGCACAAAATATTATTACCATATTTTGAAGCCTTACTAAATTAGACCCAATCTTATTTTTCTTTTTGACAAACAGCAGAGTTTTTGTAAAACTTGGTTTTCTCCATCATCACAAGACAAGCTGGGAATTTTTAGTTTCAACCTCAGTTTGACTCACAAAATGAGATAACTGAAATTTGTGACTTGGCACAATGACATCATATTGAGTATATTATTCTCATGCCAAGAATCTTTCAGGACCCATCATATATTAACAATCTGCACCTTGTATTATGGGAGCATTCAGAGGGAGTCAAAGGAGAAGGAGCCAACTAATACATTAGATTTTGAATGATGTACAACTACTATATAAAAACATTAAAAAGACATCAATTGTTTGACTGACATAAAATATCTGAATTTAGTGAGGTTTGCAACATATGCTTTTAAAATGTTCATGAGGTTTAAATCTGATGAGCATAGTGACTAAAGGAGTTTCTGGAAAGCAGCTAGGTTTCTGAAACTAGTTTTATGTTACCTAAGAATTTTTGTTTTTTACACTCTTCTAGTAGGTCTTCACAAAAGTACTCTGCTTTTTCCAAAGTCCGACAGTAAAAATTCCAAACAAGTACCAATCAAACTAAACTTTGTATACATTTTTAACTTACCGGAGTGACTTTACTTTTGAAGGATTCTGGTATATACAGAGTTCTCTGATCATATTCTGGATGATCTGGGCTTCTACCATTAATATCCCTGGAGACAAAATTTTTAAAATAATAAACAATACAAATTATTAATTACAATTATATATGATAAAAATATACAAGGTGATTGAAAAGTAACTCCCTATTTTATATATGATGGACTTTCTCACCTTGTAAAAATTAGTTAGACAGGAGAGTCCATCATACATAAATTAGGAAGCTACTTTTCAATCACCCTGTAGTTTTGCAGTAGGTAATATTTAGAGGGTGAAAGTACTCAATATCAAGGATCAAATTAGAAAAATACAAAAAATTGAAACAGATCAACATTGTTGAATTTAACAAAACTAGTTTAAATGAATTCTTGCCAGACACACACAATATATAATTTAAAGAAAAAACAGACCACTTTAAGGGCCCATCCTCCTTGGAATTATCTATATTTCTGTTACTTTATATATATATATATATATATATATATATATATATAAGATGCATAAATAAAACAATAATTGTTGTAACCTAGGAAAAGCTTACTGAATAAGAATAACCAAAATGAAGGTTGGAAATGAACGATAATACTTATAACAGGAACAACATACAAGATTCGCCAGTGGCATGTAGTAAGTAATCAACTGTTAGTGGTGAGCTAGAAATGAATCAAGGTGAAACCCGAGTGAATCCAAATGACCACCAGTCAATCAACATACAGTATATTCCATTGTATTTTTAAGGCTTGGGACATACCCATTATAGTCCATATATACGGTACAACAATAATCTTACTACATAAAATATTGTTCATCATCAATCAGTTGTAAATGAGATTAACATCCGCACACCTCATTTTTTTTTTTTCAGTAGATAATTTAAAAAAAAGAAAAACCATATTGAAATTCTCATCACCATAAACATAAGAACACTGTCTTCTCTTCCTTATCCACAATTTCATTTTCTACAGTTTCAGTTACTTGCAATCAATCGAGAAGCTATAAAGTAGTTCCTTTAAGTAAAAGGCTGAACATTCTCAACTTGCTTTCCCCTAGGGTCTGGACTAAGATCAAATTTTCTGTTCATTACATAATTTTTATTAGTTTGTTATAACTGGTCTTTTCCATTTTTAGTCATTGTTGCTGATCTCTTGCTGATAGAGAGAAGAGAGAAAAAAAAAAAAAAAAAAGAGTGTCCATAGGGTTCAGTACTGTCTGCAGCTTCAATCATGTAGTAGGAGAGTTTGGGAACAAATTCCACAGAAATAAGGAAGGAAACTCTAATGCAGTGATTAGCAATCTGGATAGTAGTGCCTACAAGTGGGCATTTGACTGGTTCCAGTAGATATTCAGCCTTTTTTTGGTGGTAGGTGGCCATCAAGCGCCACTAGTGGGCATTTGACTTGATACCCATAACGTTTTAGTAGTGGTGGGACTAGCCATGAAATCAGCAATGCTAACTAATCATTTCCTTGTAATTACCATATTCTTGTTATTAATGACACACCCTCAATTTGTAATGCACTTTCTACTTCCGATGCACTTTTAACATTATAATCATGCAAATACCTGCAGTGTAATATCCACCCAGTAAAGATTAATTATTTACCATTCATTTTATCTAAATTAGGAAGTTTAGTAAATGATATAATTATTATTCATGTACTCCCAAATAGCACACTCTCTATTAATGATGCACTCCTTAGCCAAAAAAGAACCAAAAAAAAAAAAACCAACAAATTGTGGCATATGCATCACTAATAAAGAGAATACAGTAATAGGTGGCCATTTTGTTCACCCAGAGAGAGGGTTTTTCCCTACGTCTCTTTAACAAGCTTTTCTTCAAATGTTTTGACTCATTAAAAAACATCAAGCTCAGGCAAAGCATTGAACAGCATCAACTTTTTGCTCTTTTTTTTTTATCCAATGTGTCAAAATCTGTAGGTTATAATCCACAAATAAATGGGTATCTATAGAAACTAAGTTCTGTTTCAATGCATCTTTGTACATAGTCTGAATTAAAAATTAAATATCATTTAAATTTAATCTATTAATTTGGAAATTATTGATAGGTTAGTGTTAAGCATTACATAGAAAAAGGTTACTGAGAACCGCTCTAATGCAATATTTAAATCCAAATGAAGTTATGCCAAGCATGTTAATCTTAATTTTAAAAAAAGCATTAAAATTCATTAATATTTAAATCAGTTTTCACTATTTTAAAAAACACTTCAATTTAAAAATTTCTTTACACTAAAATTTTGTTTATGGAATTTTTGGTTAAAAATAAAATTGCGATAAAAGACAGACATTAAAATCAAACAAGAGGAAACAATAACAAAAAATTTTATAATTACCATAAAGAGGTCTTAGAGGAATGAAAACCATTTAAGCTTTTGTTTTTACTCATTTTGTTTTCTGATTTACTTCTTTATATTAACTATAATTGTTTTTGTTATTCTTTCCTGTTGATTGATTTTAATGTAAGTTCATTTTTTTTTTCAATTGAATAAAAAAATTTCTAACATTGTTCTCTTAAAGAGGAAAAAATATCTGGGAAATGTAGAATTCTCATGAACATTGTTTACATTAAAATCACAACTAAATCTGAAAAGTTCAGGCATATTTAAAATAAAGAAATTTTCTCACATGACTTTAAATACCTTTAGCATCCAAGCCTACACAACAACTAGGAAGTTATGTTGACATCTTTGTAGGTCATCTTCTAAATGGATTGAACTTTAGAATTACAATTCAAACAAAAGATAAAAAATATCTCATATATAAAAAAATAATAATTACTTTATTTTTTCAGGTTTCAAAAAGTCCAGTGTTTGATGCAAATAAGTAGTCGAGCCTTCACTAGCATCACCAGCCCCACCAGATGAATTCTGAAAGAGAAATAGAAGAAACAAATTTCTTTAACATGGGGATACAAACACACAACTGCTTTAAGAATCCAAGTTGTAATTTAGTTGTATAATAGAAACTAGTTTTGCAGGGTTTCCAAGAGCAGAGCTTCTAACTTTATCAGATTGAACTTACAATCTGGACATGTCTCTAAGACTCAACAAATCTCTTCAGCTAACTCATCTGTATAAGAGAAAGAACTCCAACAGGAAACTCACAAACTAGAGACTTTAGCCTATCAGTCGTTAGAAGATTAAACCACCAGTGTCCTGATTGAATTGCTGGAAAATATTAACATGTGATATTGGCACAATTAAATTGATACATCCCCAAAATCATTGAAGATCAAGCATTACAAGTTGATCTCAAAATTGACTTCTCTTTCAAGTGATACTAAATTTAGCCTCCTTGTTATTACTGGTTATGAGATGTGGCTTTAGAAATCTACAACTTTGTTGAAGTTGTAGACTTCCAGTACTTCTAGTTGATCATGTGATATATTAATACTGCGTATTGAAATATAGTGCATTCAGGCAATCCTGGACTGTAAGCATGTGCAACTTGTAGGCACATTTGGGTGTTTTCAGCTTTAAAGGTTTGAAACTCTTATCCCACAGCAAGCGAACCTAAATTTTAAAGGGTAGGTACAGTAACATGAAAGCTGTGCACAAAGTGCAAGTTTTCCATGCTGTCTCATTCAGCTCGCAGGAACTGCAGACATTTTTTTTTCTTAAATTTACATTCAATAAAACCAAAGAGAGCTTAGAGCTTAGGTGGACAACTGACTAGTCATATATGGTTAATATACTTACTGATTCAGGAGCTGAGAACAAAGACAACTTGGATTTTGTAGCTGATCCAAGAGAGGCAACAAATGAACTGTTTTTCGGAGTGGAACTGCTGCCAATGGATTTCCGCTTGGAGGCAGTGACTGGAGTTGACTCACCAAGTTTTCTTTTTTTCTTTACATTTCTTTTAAAAAAACAAAAAAAAAAAAAAAAAAAAAAAAAAAAACATTATTTATTATTTATATATATATATATATATATATATATATATATATATATATAAAAAACACAAGGATGAGAATAAAATTCTAATAATTAACTGCAAAAATTCCAACACAAAAAAGAGAATATATTCTGGCTTTTAAGCGTTAGCCAAAATTCAAAATGCTTGGAAAATTCAATAAGCAGTTTTTTTATTATTATTATTATAATGAGAAGAAGAAGAAAGAGAAGGAGAAGAATGAGAATGAGAAGAAGAAGAAGAATGAAGGAGAAGAAGAAGAAGAAGGAGAAGAAGGAAGAAGAAGAAAGGAGAAGAGAAGAAGAAGAAGAAGGAGAAGGAGAAGAAGAAGAAGAAGAATGAGAATGAGAAGAAGAATGAGAAGGAGAAGAAGAATGAGAAGGAGAAGAAGAACGAGAAGGAGAAGCAGAAGCAGCACCTGGGATGAAACTACTATAATATAAACAAGAGAAAGTATAAAGATGAAAATAATCTATTCTATAAAACACAATGTGAGTTTATTGGTAATGCTCCTGACCTTTCCTATTTTCAATAATGAAACAATCCATTATTTTAGATTTTAAAGTAATATTCAACAAGAATTAATTGCATGAATAAAAAATCTTAGATTATTCATGCAGAAAATATAAGCAAAATTAAAACATTCTCATTTAGCATTTAATGATGGTGTAAGCATAAGTGATACTATTTTCCGCCTGTGTCATTTATTGAACCAGCAATATAAAGAAAGTGGCTGAAAATAAAAAAAAGAAAGAAAAATAGTGCAGATAAGAATGAAATTAGAGAGAAAAAGAAAAGAAAGTAAAAGAGAACAGAGAAAAAAAAATGTTATTTAGTTTAATATTCAGGAAGTATTGAACGTTAAGAAGAAAGCAACAAAGTTTCAGATAGTCTAGAAGTATAATAAATGAAATTTACTTAGTCACTTTTTTCTTTTAGATTATAGGTAAACTACTTTTTTACTAATGTACCTGTCAAGAAAAGGAAGAACATGTTTACATGTATAAAATACAATACACACCATATTTAACAGATACATATTTGATTTTTCAATAATTTTTTTCTCTTGAAAGCCTTGTCCTTTGACACTCAGAGGAAAATAACAATAAATTGGAAAAAAAAGAACATGATACATGAGTAACAAATATGAAAGGTGTGAATAATGCATTGTTAAGTAGCCAAGCTTTAAAAGAGTATTAGAGAAAGAAAGGGAGAAATTTAAGAGCCAAAATTGTTCAGACATTTCACACAGTTCTGATTGCACAACTCAGACCTTATAGTGTTTAGACAACCTCCAAGATTCTCTTTTCTAATTTTACCCTGCCTATAACATATACAGAGGATTGTTTTAAACCTTTAACAAGAGAAAGTCTAATGTTTATATGAGTGTTGGAGTCTATTTACATAAATACTAGGAGGCCAAGTTGTGTAAACAGAAGAAGCTTCTTTTTTTCACTCAAGCTTATGAATGATATTGACTCTTAAAATCGCCTCCTCTAATGCTCATCTAACACTTGGTTGTTTACAATGAACGTTGACATATTTCATGTGTTGTGTTTGTTCTTTTCTCAATTTATTGTTGACATTTTTATGCTGAAAAAAAAAAAGAAAAAAAAAAAAAAAAAAAAGGCTTTCAAGAGAGAAAAAAAAATGGACAAAGGAAAAATGAAACATATCTGTTAATTACAGACATCTTTTACTAGTGCAATCAATTGAAAATCAGACCCTGATTACAGAATAAACTTACTTTAACTGGTGAAGGTTCAGGTTCAGATGCAGATTCAGGTTCTGAAAGTTCTTCTTCATCAACTCCACTGCTCAAACTGTCATCATCATCATCCTCCTCCTCCTCCTCCTCTTCACTGCCAGACTTTGTTGGCACTTTGTATTCATCAGCTGAAAAAGAGAAATCTATATCAAAGTCTGGCTCTTATAATTATCTACCTTTTTACACAATATCTTTCCATTTATTAAACATATTCTTTATTCCATTTAATTCTATTTTCTTAACATCTATTTACTCCAATGAATAAAGAGCAAAACTGACTTCCTATGTTCAAAAGATGACATGAATGATTAAAGTAACAAATAGGAATAAAGTAACAAATAGGAATAAAGTAACAAATAGGAATAAAGTAACAAATAGGAATAAAGTAACAAATAGGAATAAAGTAACAAATAATCATGATTCTAGTTTGTTAATCAAATCTTCATGTTTTTCAGTGGTACTTACATCCTTTAAGTCTTGGTCAGGTAGTCCTAATATCATGTTCTCAACTATGTCCGAATTGCATCGAACTAGTTTTTCACCTGAATGAAAATAATTCTGCCAAAAATCTATTCGTTTCAAGCCAATCATGTGACATACAACATTATAAATACAAGGACACATTTTCAACTCTTTCTCTTTTTCCTGTTTTTCTCAGAACCACAACTATGTAATTCAGTGAGGAGTTATGACTGTCCCTGATGAGCAGATGCTATGACACACACACACATACACACATATGTACAAACATTGCACATCTCTGAACTCATCTCATTCTTCAATTCATGAATTCAAGCGTCCTACGAGGCTGGCATCCCACTCTCACCCTTTCACTGTTGAAACTGTTAAATGTAGCCGTCTCTTCTACTCCAATAGCTTCATATCTCGCACCTCTCGCCTGTGGAACTCCCTTCCCTTTTCCTGTTTCTCTGATAGCTATAATCTCCAACTATTCAAATGTAATGTCAATAGACATCTCCAGTTGCCTTGATCTATCCACTATCCTTCACTTCATCCTTTCCTCTATCACTCCTATCTGCTCTCACTCCAAATCCTATGTAACCCCTTGCATACCAGCCTTGCTTGGGGTGAAATGCTAAAAAAAAAAAAAAAAACAAGCAACAGAAACATATTCAGCTTTCTTCGGTGAACAACAATAAGCGGCAAGTGTATTCAACTTTTCAATATTCAAGTGAAGATTACATTTTCCTTCAATCAACAAGTTTCTTTGAACTCCTCTTACACCAGAATTTCAGACTACAACACCTTATCAAAGAACATTCTTTCCATTGTAATTTACTATTATTTCATGAACTGAAATCTCTTCCGTGAGTCCAGATAAAAAGTACATCTTCGTTAAAGTCTTAGCTAATTCAAATAAAAGTTAAAGGGAAATAACTCCTGCTGTATTATTACAACGATTACTATATAAAATTGTTTATTGTTATAGAAACAGTTTTTTTTGTTTCTCTTGTTTGCTTTTCGTTTGCTTACACATTTGTAAAGTAAAAAATGTACAGGTTGATTTAGGCCATCAATCTAGAAGCACACTTAAATTCATTAAGTCTATGTATCAAAGAGGAAAGCTCATCAGAACAATTACCATGAAAATATTTATAGAAAAGGTACAGAGAAGCTATGTTATGTTGGGGGGAAAGTGACTGAAGCTGAGATGCCAGTACAGAACCAATAACATTGCAGATTTTTCTTTGTATTTTATCAAGAATCTCCAAATGCATAGCAGAAGCACCAGGTAGGTTAGAGAGATTCTGGTAAGAAAAATTGTCTAGCATGACAGTAAACCAACTCTCCTAGCAGTAGACCTGATAATTGATTCAATATAATATTTCTATTTCATGTCAGCAGAAAACAGCCAGAGAAGACACAAGGAGTCACTATCCTGTGGGTTAGCATCAGCCATGCTGATGGAAGATAAAAAAGGTTCTTTTAGACAATTAAAAGAAATCAGTTTTGTTTTGGAAATGTTAAAATTAACAAGCCATTTTTTGCCTTAGTTAACAATAGATTGTATGGTTGGAGTAATTTGTCTATTACTAGAGAGAATTACTTCAACTATAATCATCTAGTTTGGTGAAAAAAGAAAACAAAAACAAGGGGAAGAAATCAGTTACTATAATAAGAACAACAATATTATTGGTGATATAAAGCAAATTTCGTCTACTTCCAGAGTTTTCTGAAAACGAGCCTTATGCTAGACTAAACCTATCATGCAAAGAGAGATAACTCAGTTTGAATTAGAGTTATTATTGCTGCAGAATTAGACCAGTTGTCTCCTCTTGGCGTTGTCGTTATATAAGTAAATCTGTTCAACTGAATTCTACCCAAAGTTAGTGACATCCTAGAAACTTGGAGATCTATCTTAGGCAACTCATTAAGAAAAACCAACTAATTAATACTGATTCCAATATGGAGGTTATCAGCGTGAACTTCTTAGATATTTTATTGAATTGGTTGCAAGACTTAACCTATTTATTAAAAGAGTTAGTTGGTGGGTAGTAATTTTTACAAGTTGAGTTTGGACACCTACATGAATTTGATTTACAGTATATATTCATATATAAGCTGACTTTATGTATAGTGCGACCAATGAAATTATTGGCATGAATTTTAACACCTCCAGAAAATATTACCTGTGTATAATGCAGCCAGTCACTGAAAACACATGATTTTTAATCTTTTCAAAAAAAAAAAAAAAAAACATTACCTGTATATAGTGCAACCCCTTATTTTTTTTGTGTAAAAAATCTTGCACTACACTCGAGCATATATGGCATATAAACAAAACTAATTTAATTAATTTTATTGCCACCTTATAACACACAATTCTTAAGAGAAAGTTTTATGGCCCTACTTAAAAATCTGTTTACAAATACAGACTTTATTTTTTCCAGACTTGCTCCTTTCTCAGGGCAATCATAGGTTGTTATGGTATCATAAATATATAGATTAGAGAGAGTTGTAATAATTTCTGCATTAATATTTTTTTAACATTTAAAAACATGATGTTACATTACCAGAATCTCCACTATCACTGTCAGATTCAACAATAATCCTCCTCCTTTTTGGTTTACTCCTTTCAGATCTCCTGGTGCCTTTTTTGGGAGTTTTCTTTGGACTCTCTTTAGATTTGGATTCCTGGAAGATAACAGAAAAGGAGGTTTCATAACTTGAACATGGCGTCAGACCAAACAAAGACATAACATAGGTTTCATAGTAAAATTATGTGCTTAATTTTGGCATGTGTAGTTCGTGTAATAGTTAGCAGCTTGAAATGAAAAGTTGTTACATTCACTGTTGCACGAACATTCTTGAGAAAAGTATGAATCCATTTCTTCTTCCAACAACCATGGGTTAAATAGCAGTGCAGTCTGGGCTCTCTAGCCATGGTTGGCAACCAGTCTAAGAGAAGAACAACTCAATTCAAAACTCATCAACCTGAAGTTGTACCAAGATGGTTAGACATGGGAAGCAGGTTTTATGTATGCAAAACTAAAAACATGATAGATTATAGCAGCTATGGATCATTCCTTGATTATCTGGATACGGTTGCCACCAATGGGCACCGGACACTATGAAGGTGTCAACCCTGGCGCTAGAAATTAAATTTTTCACAAATTCTAACATTGGGTTACATCCTTCCTAAAACAAGATCTTCTGATTCATGCTACACTAATTTCCACCACTGGCCAGATGTGAACGCTCCAAAGCCCAAGAAAAATTCCATCAACTGTGCAAAGGCTCCACACATAGCTTCCATTTTTTACTCACACACTCAAAGAAAATACAATCCAGAATTTCCACCCAATAGAACCCACTCCAACTTAAAGACACAAAATAAAAATTGAAGCCGATCTGAGCTTAAGAAAAGGACTATCAAAGGGACATTCTCGGAATCAGACAGCATAACAGCCTGGATTCACAACACTCATTGGAATGCAACCTCCCACATCCAAAAAACAGCTTGTCAAAGCCATTGCCGCAGTAAGTCACAACTCACCCTCCCACCGTACATCTCTGCAGACCACTTTCACAATTTCACTTATCTCCATCTTTTGATGAAAGACATTTACACCAATTTACCATTTGTTGTATTTTTACATTAATACAATTATTTCTTAAACCTCCGTTGATTTTTCTTTGTTCTGCCATCATATGCTTAATATAACAATTGGGTAAGTAATCTCATATGTTTTGCTAAAAACCTGGGTGTTGTCAAATAATTTTAAGCTTAGTTTATACTAGGTAACTTCTACTCATCTACTCTGTATATGTGATACTATTTGTTGTTACTGCAGTAAAACATGAGAAAGCTTTCTTATGAATAGAAGAAATGATATACTGAGAGACCTTGGAACAAGAAGGGTTAATACATGGGAAAAATTGATTTTAATTCTCATATAGATAACCACCTGAATTGTGTGTCAGGCTTCTGAACAATGAAAAATGAGCCAGGCCAAGAAGGCAATGATGATGAACATGTATTACACACAGCTGAAAAGATGAACTGTAAAGAGGAAATGTAATTTTGTACACAAACTTAGAATTAATTTTTCTGGTCAGAAGTTGAGACACCAAGGAAGGTGGAAGAGCCACCCACACTCACTGAGGAGAAAGAAGGGAATTCCCCAAAATTATGAAGTAAGCTGACACCAAGGGGATTTATCAAATTCTCCTACTGCACCATGCCCCACCCCAGTTGGGGCAAATGTCAATGAATACAAACGCTTGGAGCAAGATTGTCAGACAGAGACAAGACAGGAGAGGGTTCGTTCCAGCCACCGGATGCCGGACACCCCACGTGATTATCTGCTGGTGAAAAGAACCTCTGATTTCAACCATGTGCCAAACTTTACCAAAATGGCAAAACAAACTTTACCAAGTCAACAACATTACTTCTGATTTAGACATGGGTTGGGCTGATAATTAATTGCAAAAGAACTGTTATAACCAATTATTGTATTAAGGACTGACATAAAAACAGTATTTACTTTTCGTTCAATTTATTTGAGTTATTTTTTTTCCCCTGTACGTCTTTGCTCTGCTTGGACCAGCCCAACATGAAGATGCCTGTGACAATTCAATCTTAGCCTCCTTATGATCAAACTTACATCACAACATGGGATAGGGCAGGCCTGAGATCAAAGTGATCTTCATTGATCAGCTGCAGTGTTGGAAGTCTTGGGTGACTGGGAAGGGTGTTGTATGATTACACATACATATAGGGGCTTATTTTCAGTGAAGACGGAAAAACAGAATGGTCTACTTGAAACGGAAATTACATTTTTGAAATAGAAATTTTTTTTCTTCTTTTATAACAATTAGATTTGCCAACTGCCTTTTTTATTTTATTTATTTATATTTACCTTTTCTAAATTGCTCATCTGGCAGACGTCAAAGAGTAAAGTTGGTAATGTTTTAATACATCCCTTTTACCTACTCTCTCCCTAGAGTTGGTAATGTTTTAATACACCCCCTTACCTACTCTCTCCCTAGAGTATTTATGAACCAAGTTTTACGAAGTTTGGTTGATTTAAAACAAAAATTTTGTCTTTTTGTTTATCCTTTCTTTTTCCTATGACACAAGGTGATGGAGATGGGGGTGAAGTTTGTCATTTCAGAAAGTGAAATTTTATTAGATTTTTTTGAAAAATTTTAATTTTATTTTCTTGTTTTAATACACTAAGTATTATAATGAGGCAAAAATGGAATTCCTTACTGAAAACAGGGAAAAAAATGAAATTAAGGAAAATTTGAAACAGAAAATCAGTCCCTCTACGTACAAACTTCTACATTTTCATTTCTATTTAATATTATAAGCAGAAAATAACCAGTTTTATTTGCACGTAGAGAGTTGGGTATGCTCTCATATCAACAGTTGCCCCTACAAGGTAATTATAGACCCCTTTTCAAGACAGTTTGATGTTCTTTGGTTAGTCATATTACATGTGTACAATATCTTCTGTCAATACTGGTGTGTTATTCTTCTATACGCAATGAAATAAAATAAGTTTAAAACATTGTTGTGTCTGTTCAGAATGCTACTCACCTTTGGAGATTTTTCAATGTTAACATTTTCTTTACTTTTTTCGGAGTCATCTTCTTCACTCATTGATTCATCAAACATATCTTTAGAGAGTAAAAAAGTTGAAATTAATTAAAATCTTGAGAAGTCAAAAGCATGTTAAAAATTATGCAAAAACACTCAAAGTGAAATGATTAATACTTGAAAAAGAAAAAAAAAAAGTTACATTATAAAAAATTCTGGTCTATATAAATTTGATGAAACATCTTTTTGACTTTTCAGAGCTTAAAAAAAAACCAAAAAAAAAAAAAACCAAAAACTAACTATCTTCCTTGAGAAAATAATTTGTCATTCTTACTTTTATTTGGCTGTGGAAAATGCGATAAAAGTTTCTATGGTTAAATATATTAGTGTAGCTAGAGGTGGGTGCAACCATGGTGAGACTTTTATGGGGGCTGCACTTTTTGATTTGCTGTATAAGCTTATATTGAAATAAAAGGAGACACATCTTGGTTATCATAAATTCCAGTTATTTTTCCTTAACAGAAATTCGTTTGAGGGTATGTGTTGCTCTATTTTCTCTGTGTGTGTGTGTATGTGAAAGTGAGTGAGAGAGAGCGAGAGACACACACACAGTACAATATGTTGTATTAGTGAGGAATAGGGGGAGGGGCAGCACACACACTGTAGATATGTCACTGGCTAAATACTGGTTTTGTCAAATATAGCTTAGCCTTATATGAGAGTTTCTTATTGGAATACTTCACAGGAAAGATGTTTCTTAGTAAATGTATTTTGTAAGCATTGAGTAGCATAACAGCTACTGACACTGTAATCAGAATCAGGAAGCAGAGTTCAAATTGTCCCTCAGTCTGTTACGTCTCTTTTGCAAAATTGCCTTTGGGAAATGTAAGCGATCTGGGATTGCAAAGGAAATGTTTGTCGCAGATTCATTTGCACGTCATAGAGAATAAATCACTAAGTTCAGACTCGAACATTGGGAACAGAAAGAAAATGCTGAAAACTCGATTCGCAAGTACTATTTCACAAATCACAATGCACGCAACCAGTCAGAAAAATAACTCACTCTCCAACAAACGTGTCAGCCAAAATAGCCAACTTTTTCCTCCCAGATTCGAGAACACCAACTGCTTTTATCAGCCGAGCATTTTTTCCATTCATCAACAGCTGGGAGAGGATGTTCAGTATTTTGCATATCAAAATACTTTTATAGCGACTCCTGCGACAGACTTGTTTTTTAATTCAAATATTCCATCTTCAGCATGTCATGCAGAATACGTGCCCTTTTGTTTGGCAAGTAATTTTCTTTTTCGACATATTTTCTGTCGTAGAATACACGTGACGCGCTGTCACTTGGTTTGACGAGGCAAGTTGCCGTTTTCTTCACTATAGGAAAGGAAAGAGTTCAACTTTTCTCCTCCTTTTATGGGTTAGATAGCAGAGTAGACTGGACTGTCTTGCCTTGGGTGACAGCCAAGAAAAAGACTATTCTAAATTTAATACTATGGAGAAGGCAACAGGAAATTACTCCACAAGTTTTCCCAAGATATCATGGCAATTCACAGATAATAAATAAACGGAACCTGTGATTTGATTGATGTGTTTATACTACAGCTTATCAACTCTTTGCAGGTTATTTGAAGCTAGAAAATATTTTTTTTAGATTATAAGAATTTTTTCTTTTTAGTGATGCAAGTCTTACTAATTAACCCAAAGCTGGGAAAGAAGAAATATTTACACATAAGTGAATATAACAAACCCAACTAGAATTGGAACTTAACAATTATAAGCCATTATCCATTACACCACCTGCACATCCAATCTTACAGCACTTGGTATTTCTAAAGAGTCACCCATTTAGGTACTGACCAGGCTCGATGTTGCTTAACTTCAGTGATTTTATGGGAACCAATGTTTCACTGTGATATGGCCATAATCTAAAAGGAACCAGTAGAGACCAACGATCACCTAAATCCTGAAAGGAGATGGCATTTTCTTTTAAACAGGAAATATTATAGAGACTATAGATATGTATATTTGTATAAATAAGCATATCAATATAGAGATCAATTTGATTCTTTTAATTTAAAAAAAAAAAAAAACTGCTACTCACTATCCAAGTCTTTCATTTCATCTTCATCCTCAGATGGTTGTAGTTCTACAACAAGTCCTAAACGTTCTTCTTTTGACATTTTCATTGCTTTGTCAGCACCAGTCACTCCTTTCCTTTGAGCAGGATCCATGGAGAAATAGGTTCCTCCAGTTCGAGCCTCCTTGGAATCCGCACCAGTAAATGACCGGACAAACCTTTCACAAAAATAATCAAAAAAAATCTCCCTGAACAGACAAAGACAAATTAGGATACTCTTAATGAATACAAACACAAAGGAGATAAAATGGTCTCAGCCTAACCCACTTAAAAAAAAAAAAAAAAGAAGAAAGTAATTTTAACCCATGAAAATTTCATGGTTTTCAGATTTTAATATTCTGATGGATCTTAATTCTTAAGCTAATAATTGAATAAGCTTGCGGCGAGTTCTATGACAATAAAATATCTGTATAAATTTTCTTATTTTATCATTAAATATTTGAACTTAATAACTTTAACAAAATATTGCAAAAAAGAGATAGTTTAACAAGGTATATTAGCCTTAGAAAAAAAAAATTGTTTACTCACTTTGCCTTAACCCATGCTCTAGAAACTGGATCATCAAAAAATTGAACATGTACTTCAGGTACTTTTCCCTTCTTCAGATGAGTGTTGGTCGTGGGATGATTACACACTAAACTTGGCCACCAAGGGTAACCTTCCAATTTTGACCACACAACGTCCCCAACAGAGAACTCTGAAAAAAAAAAAAAAAAACATGAAAGAATAAAGCAGCTCATTTTTATAAATAGTTTCTGGATGGGAGTTAAGAAATAACACTTGTACATGACATAATAAAATTTGTACTACTTGGTAACCCTACATGTTTTATTTTTATATTAGAAATTATGTTTAGAACTGCTCAGCTTTTCTATAAAATGAAGCTCTTTTATCCATTGCAGCACTGGGGTTGGTATCAAACAACTTTACAAAGATGTAAAGTTAATTTATTATATATTTTCAAATATATAATGTCAATGGTTTAAAATAAAAAAAAATAAATAAATAAATAAAACAAAAGGTCAGCAGTTTAATGTATCTTTCAAATCAGTCTGTACCATGGTCAAAAATCTGTGTCCAGCACATAAACATATGAGAGAGAGAGTTAAAAAGGATTCAGTCAGTTATATGCCATGTGGGATACATGCTTAGGCGATCATGTATCTTTTGATACATGACTGACAAAGCAGATTTTTTCCCACAGTAGGTTGCCATTTCTTTCTGTGGTAGACCAGTTGCCATCCAAGGCTATAGAAACCTGCTATTTACCCATAGCTGGAGGGGGGGGGGGAAGAAGAAGAGGATTCATACCTTTCCTAAGGGTATTAGCATGTAAATGAATGTAATGGATTTGACTGGAATTTGAACTCGGTTCTCAGATTCTTCAATCAGAGCCACTATCCATTACTCTACAAGGATTACCAGCTCCAATACCCAACTTGTGGAACACGTGACTGTGTCTGGACTGAACAGTCATGTGATGATGTGAATGACAAGCTCAAAGATTCCAATAACAGAATTCAAGCCAACAATGGGGAAATGAAGATGTCATTGTCAATAACAACACACTTGCCAGAACTGATTGATTTTAAAGAAATATTCCAAAAATAGCCTCAACATCTGCATCTATTACGTAGCACATAAGTTTACTGATAGATATTTGTAACAATATGGTTATCTAAGAATATTGCAGATTTTAGAAGACAATAAAACTGTGCTGAATAGTTTAAAAGTGTTAAAAATAAAATGAAAACATCAATTACTTGATGCCTATAACTAAAATTGCTTTGCATTTCCATAACAATTGAATATCTCATTATCAAAAGGTGTAACAGTTTATTCATATATGGTTTTTTGTTTCATACTAGCTTTCTATGGATGTTTTTACTTTTAATGGTTTTAAAAAAGACAGAATTATTTCTCATATGTGACAATAGACTATATATGCACAAGTAAAAATACTAAATTACAGATTACTCCTGTAGAAACTATAACCAATTGCAAAATTACTTAAATATTGGGGCATATATTTTATGAGCAAAATAGTAAAAATATTTGAACATACGTGATATGCACACAGGTGTACACAAACACTGTTCTTATTTTTTTTAAATTAATGGATTAAATTTTGCAGGTGCAAACATGCATGTAAGTAACTACACGACTAAATTTGAATTTCGTTTGCCCCCAAGTAGATCTTTCTTTATGGCTAAATAATTAGACGTCGTCCATATCAGAAAGACTGCCACAAATGGAATGAAACACAGAGTTCAACTCTAACAAATGAAAGAAACTATTAAAAAAAAAATAATAAAAATTCTTAAATGAATAAAAATATTTTTGCTTTTTTTTTTTTTACATCTCATAGTTTGTGTATGTTATTTATTTTTTTACTATTTTTGTTGCTGTAGTTCATTTTACTGATCTTGTCATTTTTTTATTGTAAAATTGATACTGTTTGCACTTGCATCTCTTTTTTTAACCTAAAAAAAAAAAACAACAAAAAAAAAAACACCTATGCAACTGGTTATATACTCGGACTCCTAACCAGGTGATCGGTAAATAACGCCGTTGGTGTTTCCGTTATAAAATGCCGTTACGGTTTAATGTACGTCTGTGATTTTAACTATTTTCCCCGATTAATGCAACCACCAAACAAAAACTTTGGATGGTTGCATTGTCCAACATCAAGAGAATTATCCCTGTCCACTTAAGAAAAAAGTAAACACGCCTTTAAATAAAATGTACTAATTTAAATTTCTAATGCATTATTATTTACTATTTAAGGCTAAAAACAATACTGCAATAAAAAGTTATAATCATCGATATACCGACAATTAAGCGGTGCTAAAATACAAATTAATCTAAAAAAAAATAATGACATTTCATTTGACATTTACTTTTTATGCGAAGATGGTGGGGTAAAAATACGTTTTTTTTTTACACACTTCACAAACTTAATCAGATGCATACGCAGCAACAAAAAAGATTATATTTCTTAAAACTTAAAACCATTCATTTTATTTTATTTCAAAAATCAGTCAAAGAAGCAAAATCGGTCCTTTTTCTGTCTTACCCTGTGGGATGTCGCCATTTTTTGAATGTTGCTTTCCAGCATCAGGCGTTCCATTACTAGTTTTCGATTTGGTATTATTCTTAGGAGACAGCACCTGGCTATCTTCCGTCTTCTTGGGGGTCTTGGAGAAATAAGCAAACAATGTATTGACCTTTGACATGCTTACAAATTTAAAAAAAAAAAAGCAAAACAAAAACAATTGTTACTCCTCGTGTCAGAAGAGCTGCTAGAGTGCAAACCACGAAAACAACCACGGATAAACTCCCGCGTCAATCCATAAGTGTCACGTGACGATCACAAATTTCCCGCGATTTTGATTCTCAACTATTTTTTTTTTTTTTTACATCAACCATGAAATAATTTAGTCATTGCCTCCTTCTATTGTCATCATCTTTATATAATTGTTTCCAAACTTCTTCATTTTAGTGCAATTGTTGTACATCTGAGAAACAAAAATTATTTTATTAAATTTTTAAATATGTTAGTTTAAGAAGACTGTAAGAAGAAAAATAATTCCTGTTTTTTCTGTTTGCAGCATGTGATTTGTTGATTTATTTGTATCTGAATTTTTTAAAATGTTCTAATTTAAAAGAAGACACGAACACTTGCTATTTTCTTACGTCTGTGGATGTACTAAAAGTTCAGCAACAATGATGCCTTCAAAATTAATATGACTGCTACACATTGGACTCCCGACGACATAAAATAAAATTAGTTTGTTTCAAAGGGTTACAAAACTTGTTAAGTCTTACTTTTTTTAGTCAAAAAAAAGTCTTTTTAACATTAATCATCAGTTGGATTCAGAAAGAAACTATCAAAATTCAAAACAATAAAGATGAATATTTTTATTATTGAATTTTAGTTTTCTTTGTAAGAAAATTACAGGCTACGAAATAATGCACTTTTACTGACACGAAGTGACGAAATGCACTTTTCTTTTCTTGCAATAATTTCCTAAAGTTGTAGCAGTTTTTTTAATCGATTTAGCAACAAGTGTGAAGAAAAATTGCCTTCCGTCCTTTCCTTTCCTATCATTTGTTGAATCTTTAGAATTGTAAGTTTATCATTAAATTTTTATGGCATGGGGCGCGTTTCGTAGGTTCCCCTTGATAAGATATGGTATTATGGTGTATGATGGACGATTGGTTGGTGACGGACGAGTTTTTATGGTGAATGTGTAAATTGTAATGAGTGAATGGGTCGTGAATCGGATTAGATAGGTATAAGGTAGTTAGTGAAGACCAGCCTCAACCCCTCCCCTTTTTTCAGCCTTGTGCCATAACTGTATTTTTATGCAATAAATATCCATTTGTTGAATCTACAACGCCACTGTCTTCGTCAAATGAGTGACGAACGTACCGACGATGATTTCGTTGTCATTTGTTTTATAGCCGACATTTTTGCTTTTTACTGTCTTCTTAAAATTTACCCTTTTCCTTTCAGAAGTTAGGATCGATGAAGAAAGTTTTATTTCTTTAAAAAATAAATTATTCTTTTCAACTGTTCAAACATAAAGTAAAAGTATTTTAAAGATAATTATCTTTCGCTTAAGAACCTGTATAGTGGCGTAGGGATTCGGGGTTAAAATTAAAAATGAACAGTTGATTTACCGGACCCACACCAAGCAGATTTAATGGAGGAGGGTGACGAGGTAATTTTAACAAAAACTAAATAAGGAATTTATTTACAAATTTACACGCTTGAAGTTGTGTCAGTAGCTTGCTTCATGGAAATAAATCAGAAATTTTGGCAATCCGTAGTTTTAACGAATTCTCATAAAAAGGAACCGTTCATACAACAGAATAAATGATCTGACAGTGACAAAATATTAGAATTGTTTAATCAAAAGTAAAGGAGTTCGTTATTCACAGAAATGGTTTGCATACCTTCAAAAGTAGACGAAGAGAGATAGTTTGAAATATTTAGCTTTCTTGGATTGTTGAGAGAAAATTCTTTGAAATGGCATGTGATGGTTAGAGGCCGATAATATAATTGGCAAGTACTTCAATGCTGGTTGTGAGGAACTGAAATGAAGCCTTTCACATGACTTCAGACACTCTTCGCTTATTAATATTAATTTAATTTTTCTCCTTATTTTATTTACATCAAGAGAAATTTCGCATATGCTGGCTACTTTCTTTTTTTCTTCTTCTTGACTCTACAGCTAATTTCTGTGGAGACAAGGTTTTCATAAGTCCCAAAACTATTTCACATAGACTTGCAATTTTATTTCAATCTTCTTCTCAGCTCACTGGTCAATCACTGCGAAGTTAAGGTTTTCCATGTTCCAAAGAAAATTTTGCATAGGCTTGTGAATTCCTTTCCCTCTTTTTCCTCAGCTCAACCGAATTTGATGGCAGTGAATAAAGGAATTATTATTTCATAGTCATCACACCTGAAACTTTTTTTTGAGAGAAAACTCATTCCATTGTGTAAATTTTTTGAGGCCTTTAAAAATTTTGTAAGAAAAACATCTAATATCTTAAAGAATCATTTTTATTTTTTAAACCGATTTTTAATTATTAAACTGAAGGATAATGCTACTTGGGTTAAATTATTTTTTTAGATAACTTGATGGTTAAATGTAGCGTCACTTTTTGTTTTCATTCTATGGGCATGCTTTTCTTTTAAAATTAATTTTAATTTTGTGATTAACATTATAACCTTTAATGAATGTGTGGCCCAAAAAACAGAATACCTAAGGTTTAAATGAATTTTTAAAAATTAAAAATCTTTCTTGAAGCTTTTATTTTAGTTTTACTTTCAAGCAAATAGATTAAAAATTTAATTTCCAATAAGCAAAATACTTTGCTGTATTTCAAAACAAATTTAAATTGATTGAAATTCATTGTTTTTTTTAACTAAGAATGGCTGATATTTTGGCAATATTTACAATTTTATCAGCACACTGTAATTACCTTTAAAAAAATCTTTGAAAAATAAAACATACATTTCTGAAACTTTATTTCAGGAATATTGGCTGATTTAAAGTTTAATTAATCTGATTTGAAACAGATATCACTTATTTTTAGTTTAATTTTAGTTTAAAATATCACAGAAATGCATTTTTTAACACAGAAGTAGGTGTTTTTATGAGGTATTGACAGCTGGAAATTTAGCTAATTTTTTATGGGGGACATATCTGTAAAAATTATATGGCGGATATAATGTGAGCGCTTTTTTTTTTTATAAATTTTGAACTAACCAGTAATGTTAAAAATTTATGAAAATATTCTAAGTAATCTAATGTGCCATGTGTCCTTAAGGACACATGGCACTGTGGATAAAGGCGTTAGTTAGATCCAGTGACAGGACCCAAAGGAGTGTGAGTTCAATACCTGGTTAAGGCGGTGGAGAACTTGGAGAGGGGAATTAACAGGAGATAACTGATAACTAACATCCATTAGACATGGCATGTGGAACTAGAACAGTCTACCCCAGTGAGTGAAATAAAGGATTCAGTTTGACATTCCAACCACCTGAAGAAGGCTGGAGTGTACAAAGGCTGAAATGTTGTAATAAATATGGTGACAAAGATGAAGACAATAGTCTGAATAAAGTAAATAGTGTACATAATACCTCATCTCAGAAATATAGACAGATACTAGTCTAATGTTTTATTGAATTTGAAGTACTTTGACTTTAAATTTACTATAGTTACCACTCTTATTTTTTGATAATGTATGAACGTCTGTATTTATAAAATATTGTCACATTTATGCACACACAAAAACAATTCAAAATTCAACATGTTAATATAGCACACACAAGCTGCCTGTGTGGCACAAGGTAAGTTTTTTGTGCATCCTACAGTCAGATCCCCACAAGTAGGCATTGTTTTAAGGAAAGTGCATTTAGAAAGTGCCCCAAAACAAATATTTCATAAGAGGGCAGGCAGAGTTTGTCTGACACTGCATTGTGTCAAAGGTTTGTCATTTATTGTATAAGATGCAAGGTTTGAAATATGAAAATGTTATATACTGTACCTATGAACACTAATGGGCAGTGGCGATTCTGGAATTCTGAAAGTGTGTGGGAGGGGAGGCCCCACTTGGGGGCTGAGATTTTTCTGCCGGGGAGGGGGAAATTAAAGCAACGTCTTTATTTTCATGCTACACCACTATCGTATACACAATTTAGGAATGAGTTTTAGTATAAGTATGTTACTTCACTAAATTAAACGGAATAACTTTTCATTCATAGTAGTGGAGTTCTAATCTATTCTTGCCCTCTTTTCCACTCTCGAGCTGTTGGACCACAACAGAGGTTAACTTCAAAACAAGATCAAAATTTTAATACTAGCAGAAGAGTGTAATTTGTCTGCTCTGATTTTTTTCCTCTACAAAACTTTAAAAAAAAAGAGTGTGGGGCCAACTGAGGGGCCAGCCAAAATTATGGGGGGTATTTGCCACTTCTGCCCTCTGTTCTGTAGAATCCCCACTGCTAATGGGTATGTCCCAATCCTCATAAATACGTTGGACACTATGGTAAGTGGAGGGTAATATGCTGTCTAAGTAGTCCACCACTAGCAGTGGTTTACCTACTTCCAGCCGATGACGATTATTGTATTTTGTTGATGTTATAAAGATTACCATTTCATTTCTAACATCTATTTTGGTTATTCCTCATTCAGTAACCCTTTCTAGGTTACAACAGAAAGTATGCTTGATTGCTTAGCCTCACACATTTTTGTATCATATAATTCTTTGTAAGTAATGAAAATATCCTGCAGACCTGTCCTAAAATTATGTACTTTTTCATAATTAATGTCATACTTTTCTGTGTCATCCTGAGTATGATGATAAACTACATCCGACAGCAAAGTCTTTGACTGGGAAATTGGAGGTTTTGAGGAGTGTGGAAGCACCTCTTAATTGCAGCTGTTCCCAGGTCAGGGTGGACCTGGGGTGGTAGTACCTGTAAGGGTCCCAGCTATGGGAAAATAGTAAACCTCCAAACAAAAACAAAACACTATGAAAGTATAGAAATACATTTTTATAGTAAAAATACCAGAAATATACTTTTATATGAAAAAATTAGCAGCAATACCTATTTATAGTAGAATTACCAATATGAAAGAACTCTTTCATGACAGTAATCCATAATCCATATATCCTACAATTTCTTAAAAAAGTCAAACTGTATTCCAAAATATAACTT